GGAACATAAAATACAGGACTGTTCCCAGGTACATATTTATATGGTTGGTCATAAAAACTCAGTAGTTTTCCCCGGCTCTCCTAGTAGACTTATATTATCTGAAATCAGTGGAAACACAATTACAATCTCAAAAGTACTAATCCAAACAAGGAAATAAGTATCAGTTTGGTGATGATGATGAAACAATCCGAATTAATATATAATTAACTTATTACAGAGGATCCAATTAGAGAAAATGTGGCACCAGCATATTCTGAATTATTTTAGATTATTCTGAAAAGCTTGTCTTTATTTTCAATAAACTATTTGTAAAATTAAAACTTCATTTTAAGATTAAAAAAAAAAAAGAAAAAAAAACCGTTACAAGGGACAGGAAAGGACATTATGTAATGATAAAAGGGTCCATTCACCAAGAAGAACAATTATAAGTATATATGCACCAGACATCAGAGCTTCTAAATATCTGAAGCAAACATGGACAGAATTGAAGGGAGAAAAACATAGTTCTGCATTGAGGGCGCCTGGGTAGCTCAGTTGGTTAAGCATCTGCCTTTGGCTCAGGTCATGATCTCAGGGTCCTGGGATTGAGCACCACATCAGGCTCCCCACTCAGTGGGGAGTCTGCTTCTCCTTCTGCCCCTCTCCCCCAATCATGCTCTCTCTCTCTCTCAAATAATTTTTTTTTTTTTAAGATAGTTCCACATTGAGACCTTAAACCCTCCCAACCCACCCACCCACTTTCAACCATGGATAGAACAACCAGAAAGATGATCATTAAGGAAATAGACAATTTGAACACTACAGATCAATTGGACCTAACAAACATACAGCACTCCACCCAACAACAGCAGGATATATATTTTTCTCAAGTGCACATAGAAATTCTCCAGAATACACCATATGCTACACCACAAAATAAGTCTTTTTTCAAAAGATTTTATTTATTCATTTGACAGAGAGAGCACAAGCAGGGGGAGCAGCAGAGGGAGAGGGAGAAGCAGGGAGCCTGATGTGAGGCTTAATCCCAGGACCCTGAGATCATGACCTGAGCTGAAGGCAGAAGCTTAACCAACTGAGCCACCCAGGCGCCCCCCAAAAATAAGTCTTAATAAATTTTTGAAAACTGAGATCACACAAACTATCTTTCCAATCACAAAAGAATGAAATTCCTAGAAACTTAGAAATCAATAGCAAGTAGAAAATCGGAAAATCAAAAACTGTGCAAAATTAAACAACACTCTTGACCAATGGGTCAAATAAATCACAAGGTAAATGAGCAAGTATCTTGAAAGTATGATGAAATGGGGGAAAAAAAAACATGCCAAAACCATGGTATTTAGAGAAAGCAGTGCCAAGAAGTAAGTTTACATTCTTTTCCTATAAATACTTACATGAAAAAAGATCTCAGATCAACAACCTAACTTTACACCTTAATGAATTAAAAAAAAGTGAACCCAAAACTAGCAGAAGGAAATCACAAAGATTCAGAGATAAATGAAATAGTGAATAGAGAAAATTAAGTTTTTTTTAAAAGATCAATAAAACTGAGAAAACTTAGCTAGAATGGCTAATTAAAAAAAAAAAAAAAAAAGAGGATTCACCTAAAATCAGAAATGAAATAGAGGACATTGCAGCCAGTTTTTACAAAAATAAAAAGGATTTTAGGAGTACTATGAACAATTGTATAACAAATTGGACAACCTAAATGAAATGGATAAATTCCTAGAAACCTCTAACTTGCCAGGACTGAATCATGAAGGAATAGAAATCTGAACAGCCCTGTAACTAGTGAGAGGATTGAAACAGTGACTAAAAACCTCCTCACAAAGGAAAAAAAACAAAAACCAGCCCAGGACCGGATGGCTTCACTAGTGGATTCTATCAAGCATTTAAAGAATGAAAAGCTATCCTCAAACTCTTACAAAAAATTGAAGAGGGAACATGTCCAAATCTACTCTATGAGGCCAGCATTCCCTCTATACCAAAGCCAGAGAAAAACACTTCAAGAAACAAACTACAGACCAATATCCCTGAAGAATATAGATGCAAAATCCTAAAGAAAAGAAAAGAGTACTAACAAACAGAATTCAAGAGTGTATTAGAAGGATTATACACCACAACCAAGTGGGATTTATTCCTGAAATGCAAGGACGGGTCAACATAGGAAAATCATTTGATAGAATATAACACATTACCAGAATGAAAGACAAAAACCACATGCTCGTCTCAGTTGATGCAAAGAAAACATTTGAACAAAAATTCAATATCCTTTCATGATTAAAATACTCAAAAAACAGACTAGAAGGAAATTTCAACTAATAAAAGGCACACACGACAAGCCCACAGATAACATATCCAATGGTAAAAGACTGAAAGCTTTTACTCTGAGATCAGGGTAAGACAGGGATGTCTATATTGGCCTCTTCTATTAAATATAGTACTAGGAGTCCTAGCCAGAACAATTAGGCAAGAAAAAAAAAGGCATCCAAATTGGAAAGGAAGACATTATCTCTGTTCTCGGACAAAATGAACATATAAATATATATAAAACCTATGTACCTGCAGAAAACCCTAAAGATTATACAGACATACACTCTATTACAACTAATAAATTTGGCAAAGTTGCAGAATACAAAATTCACACAAAAACTGGTTGCATTTCTATACACTAACCAAAAGGAAATTAGGAGAATAAATTCCATTTACCATCTTATTAAAAGACATAAAATACTTGGGAATAAACTTAACCAAGGAGCTGTAAGACCTGTACACTGCAAACTATAAAACATCGCTGAAAGAAATTAAAGAAGATAGAAATAAATGGAAAAATATCCCACGTTAATAGATTGGAATACTTAGTGTCATTAGGATGTCAATACTACTCATTAGGATGTCAAAACTACTCATTAGGAGGTCAATACTTAAAGGAATCACCATCAAAATCCCAACAGCCCTTTTTTACAGAAATTTAAAAAAGCAATCGGGGCACCTGGGTGGCTCAGTCATTAAGTGTCTGCCTTTGGCTCAGGTCATGATTCCGGGGTCCTGGGATCGAGCCCCACATTGGGCTCCCTGCTCAGCAGGAAGCCTGCTTCCCCCTCTCCCACTCCCCCTGCTTGTGTTCCCTC